AAGGGCACATATCAAAAACAGTAACCTGCACTTGTTAGATGTGACCTCTACTTTCTCCCACAACCTTCTCCTAGAGATTGAATCAAAAGTGGATTTTTAATCAATAAAAGCCATGTACAGAGACCCTGGACAGTTGACTGCATATTTTTCAAGCAAATGCTGTATGACTACATTGTGGCCTAATGTAGACCTTCCTTCCCTGAATCCAGTTTGTTTCTTGTTTAAGCCAGCCTCTGAGTTTGTCTAAGAGATGGCCAGCATATAGTTCACTGATAATATTCAGCAAACCTATTGGTCTATAGCTAGCTGGGTTGTTCCTCCTGCTTTCTTAAAAAATGGGATTATGCCTGCTCCCAATCCTCTGGTATATGCCCCAAGGAGTCACTAAAAGTAAAGAGGAAAGCTAAAAGGGGAGTCCATTAGTCCACATTAATTTTTAAAAGCTCCATGGGAATGTTGGCAATACTGGGGGCTTCACTTCTTTTGAGTTGGTTAATAAATGATGCTACTTCCTTTGCTGAGACAGGGGCCATGGAGGAAGGTCATCTATCTCTTGCAACAGACCTTGACAGATCAAATCTGCATATAACTCATGAAATTAAGAACTCCAGGTGCTTGCTGCTTTAAGGGAGTCTAAAGGGGAGGAATCCTTAAATGAATAACTAAATATTTTCCAGAAGAGCACCAAGTTTTTATCTTTGGCTGCCTGGATTAAATGTTCCCATATTGCCATTATATCCACTTTCTTCTTGTTAGCCACTATTTGCTTGCTCTTTAGTTTTAGGAGATGTTGGCAAAAAGACAGTGTGTCAGATCTGGGAACTCTATAAGCCTGGTAGGCAGAAGCAAGCCCCCTTTTGGCTTCAATGCATTCTTCATCAAATCACCATTTACAATACCTTCATATCTGGTTAATTTGTGGACTGGCCTCATGCAGAGGTTTTAATTCCTGAATGAGTTGCTCATAGGGGGACAGGAAATCACCGTCCACAGGATTGTTCATGATGACCTTACAGAATGTGTGAATTTTCTCCCCCTCCAAAAACTCCTTCACCTTTTCTTCCAGTCTGGAAGGCCACTTTACATAGCATTCTGCCTGTTTTGAGGGCATAATGTGTTTTCCAAGCCAAGTTTTAGGAAAAACTTGTTGGAGTGATGGATCCAGCTGCAAAATGAGAGGTAAATGATTGCTCTCAAAGTCAGGAAGTACTTGTAGGCTTTTGACATAGGGTAATAAATTACCACTGATCAAAATACAATGAGTAGTGCTGCACCTGACTCCAGGCATGAAGGTAAGTACCCCAGGATAATCCCCTGGGGTAGGATTCAGGAGAGGAAGATTAAGCCTTTTGGCCAATTCTACCAAACAAGAGTCGGCAAAAATCACCTTGCAATCTGTTGTGAGATGAGTTTTCCTTTGCAGCAGTAACAGTATCACCAGTGCTTCTTGCCAAACATCTTTATTTTACATGTAAGTCTCTGAGCATACACACAGTGAAATGTTGAACCCTCTCTGGCCCCCTTCCCCCAAAGCCTTGCCTATGAATCCTTCTGTGCCTGTTCCTGGGGGGAGGAGCACTGCAGAACCAGGCACGCCTTTGCTCCTGCCTCTGAGATCCCAAATGGGCCACCCTACAACTGTGACAACAGACTATCAAATCCACCTTCTCAAGAGGTTGGAGTTCCCATCCAATAGACTCCCCATCTCTAAATCTTCTCCCTCAAGATGTTGAGCTTTCTTGTTCCTATGGGCAGGTTGACTGGGCCCCTTGGCAGCCCTTGGAGTAATCTCTCCCATAGCAGGCATACACAAACAGCTGAAGCTGAGTCCATTTTCAACCATCATCTCATTATCAGAGCCTGAACTGCCAGCCCCACCAGGATAGGCCAACTCCCCTACACACATCTCATTCTCAGAATGTGAGCTGTCAGTCTAGTCTAAATGGTCAGCCTCTCATGTGTCCCCCTGAACTTCACCAGAATGTGCATGCACAACACCATCTTTAGAAAGCCACAGGTAGTAAGAGTGGATTTGTACCTTATCTTGGTTAGCTATGTAGCCTTTGGTCTTCTCTTTCAAGGAATGGTTGTTAGGGCTGATTTGTGCATTGAAGTCTCCTCCCAAAAGAACCTTATCTACTGAGTTATCGAAAATTAAGTCTTCGATATAATGATCTTGATCAGCCCAGGTCTTTTTAATGTTTACTTTTGCTTGTTGGAGATTACGATAGCTATTCACCACCAGGGCAGTTGCAAAGCCTAGATCAAGGCAGACAGCCATGACCTGATGGTCCAGAGAGTACAGTTTATTTACAACTTGCTCGTAGGCAGATGGATACCATAATACCCAAACCCAACTTCAGCCTCCCAGAGCCTGTACCTGAAGTTGCCCCAATGCTATAAGAATGATAGCCAAGTTTGTTGGCTATTCATTCTCCTGAAGCAGAATTATATCATAGTTCCATTGGAAAAATAGATAGTCCTGACTTTTGCAGCAAGTCTAGCCTGCAGTATTCCAGGAAGCAATTTCCAGGGGTTCTATGTGGCTGCTACAAACTTGGCCTTACATAGTCATGCTGAACCTGCTTCTTGCTGCTGGTAATTTGAATTGCAGCAAGTCTTTGATATCTCTCCAACTATCCTGCACAATTCTGGATCATCTGAGGGAACAATCACATTGGTTGTTTAATAGTTTATTTTTATTAATTATTATGGATGGTTCATGTGGGGGTCAATTTCCCTTACAGGCAGAAGACTCCTTTTTGTTTAGGGTCTCCTTCACTGGATTGTATGCAAAGGTATGGGAGTGTTCCTAGAGTCTTTGGCAGTAGATGACAGCTGTTTAAGGTTTCTCAGGGAGAGAATGAGAGCTTCCAGTTGTGTGATCATAATTTCTTGTTCTCCAAATGGCAAAAGGCTAAAGGAAGCCAAATGTTGGTGTCAACATTGTCTTCTATCTAGCCTGAGTTGAACATGTAGGATTGATGATTGAAATTTGATTAAAATGACTGATCCAAGACAGCAGGAGATTTGGGGTTTTTCACCAAAAGGCAAAAAGATATGACGCTGGAAGATGAGCCTCTCAGGTCAGAAGGTGTCGAATATGCTACTGGGGAAGAGCAGAGGGCTAGTACTAGTAGCGCCAGAAAGAATGTAGCGACTGGGTCAAAGCCGAAAGAACACTCAGTTGTGGATGTATCTGGTGGTGAAAGGAGAGTCCGATGCTGCAAAGATCTATACTCCATAGGAACCTGGAATGTAAGATCCATAAATCAAGGCAAGCTGGACGTGGTCAAACAACAGATGACAAGACTGGACATCAACATCTTAGGAATCACTGAACTAAAATGGACAGGAATGGGTGAATTTAATTCAGATGTCCATCAGGTATACTACTGCGGGCAAGAATCCCTCAGAAGAAATGGAGTAGCCTTCATAGTCAATAAAAGAGTAGGAAAAGCAGTACTGGGATACAATCTCCAAAATGACAGAATGATGTCAGTTTGAATCCAAGGCATTTGGCATCACAGTAGTCCAAGTCTATGTCCCAACCACTGGTGCTGAAGAGACTGAAGTTGACCGGTTCTATGAAGGCCTACAACACCTTCTAGAATTAACACCAAAAAATGATGTCCTTATCATCATGGGGGATTGGAATGCTAAAGTGGGAAGCCAAAAGATAACCACAATAACAGGCAAGTTTGGCCTTGGAGTACAAAATGAAGCAGGGCACAGGCTGGTAGAATTTTGTGAAGAGAATACGATGGTCATAGCAAACACTCTTTTCCAACAGCCCAAGAGACGACTCTGCACATGGACATCACCAGACGGTTAACACAGAAATCAGATTGACTATGTGCTCTGCAGCCAAAGATGGAGAAGCGCTATACAGACAGTTAAAACAAGACGAGGAGCTGACTGCGGCTCAGATCTTGTTGCAAAATTTAGGCTTAAATTGAAGAAAGTAGGGGAAAGCACTAGGCCGTTCAGGTATGACCTAAATCTTATCCCTGATGAATATACAGTAGAGGTGACAAATAAATTAAAGGAATTAGATCTGATAGAATGCCTGAAGAACTATGGACGGGGGTTCATAATATTGTAAAAGAGGTAACAACTGAAACCATTCCAAAGAAAAAGAAATGCAAGAAAGCAAAATGGCTGTCTGAGGAAGCTTTATAAATAGCTGAGGAAAGAAGGGGAGCGAAAGGCAAGGGAGAAAGAGAGAGATACACACAATTGAATGCATAATTCCAGAGAATAGCTAGAAGAGATAAGAATGCCTTCTTAAATGAACAGTGCAAAGAAATAGAACAAAACAATAGAATAAGGAGGTCCAGAGATCTCTTCAAGAAAATTGGAGATATGAAGGGAACGTTTCATGCAAAGATGGGCATGATAAAGTGCCCAAATGGCAGGGTCCTAACAGAGGCAGAAGAGATTGAGAAGAGGTGGCAAGATTATGCTGACGAACTATACAGAAAGAGCATAACGTCACTGATAACCATGATGGGGTGTTCACTGACCTCAAGCCAGACATCCTGGAATGTGAAGTCAAATGGGCCTTAGGAAGTTAAGAGCATCTACAAAGCCAGGGGAGGTGACAGTATTCCGGTTGAGCTATTCAAAATCTTAAAAGACGATGCAGTAAAAGTGCTACACTCAATATGCCAGCAAATTTGGAAACTGAACAGTAGCCACAGGATTGGAAAAGGTCAGTTTACATTCTGATCCCAAAGAAGGGTAATGCCAAAGAATGTTCAAACTACTGCACCATTGCACGCATTTCACATGCTAGCAAAGTTATGCTCAAAATCCTACAAGCTAGGCTCCAGCAGTATGTGGACCGAGAACTACCAGAAGTACAGGCAGGATTTTGGAGAGGAACTAGAGATCAAATTGCCAACATACGCTGGGTCAAGGAGAAAGCTAGGGAGTTCCAGAAAAACATCTACTTCTGCTTCATTGACTATGCTAAAGCCTTTGATTGTGTGGATCGCAACTAATTGTGGCAAGTTCTTAAAGATATGGGAGTACCAGACCACCTTATTTGTCTCTTGAGAAACCTATATGCGGGTCAAGAAGCAACAGTGAAAACTGGATATGGAACTACTGATTGGTTCAAAATTGAGAAAGGAGTTTGGCAAGGCTGTATACTGTCGCCCTGTCTATTTAACTTATATGCAGAGTACATCATGAGAAAGTCCAGGCTAGATGAGTCACAAGTTGGAATTAAGATTGCAGGGAGAAATATCAACAACCTCAGATATGCAGATGATACTACTCTAATGGCAGGTAGTGAAGAGGAACTATAGAGCCTCTTGATGTGGGTAAAGGAGGAGAGAGCAAGAGTTGGCTTGAAACTCAACATTACGAAATCTAAGATTATGGCATCCACCCTATCACTTCCTGGCAAATAGGCATGAACCTAGGTGGACCCTGGGGGATGGTGGAGCATAGGAAAGCCTGAAGGATTGTTGTCCATGGGGTCACGATGGGTTGGATGCGACTTTGCGACTAACAACAACAAGAAGAACACAGTAGTCAACTACTGTCCTACATTGACAAGGGTAAGTTTGATGAAGCAGGTAGGTCGAATAGATTCAAAGGAGTTTAGGATTTTACATCTGACATCCATATCAGATCTTCAGTGAGCTCTTGAATACATTTTCTATCCTCTTGGAGTTTAAAGGAACTAGCTTCTGAATTAAAGACTCTCTTAAATTTCTTTGGACTCTAATCCCGAAGATGGCAAACTTGGAGGCTTCTGCAAAAAGCTGCTTTGGGATGCTGTTCTTATGAAAGTAAAGAAGAAAACTCCTGACTTGGCATATAGAGCAATCTATCTAGCCTTAGAAGGTCTATGGCAGATGGGGGGAGCCTAAGGAGAAATGCTAGATGTTGGCTAGCCCTCCATGTGGTGGACCAGTTGATGTAGTTCCCCCATAAAGGAGAAATGTTGTGTCATAAATTAAGGTAGCATTATTGCTCTTGGGAGGTATCTGTATGTTGGTAACAGCTGGCAGTTCAACACCCTAATATTCTAATTCTATTTGTCCTAGTTTTCCCAAAAGGTTTCTGGGAGTTATCTGACTGGAGATCTTTTTCTTTCTCCTTTAGCAGGCTTATAATCTGCTCACTCTGATGAATATCTTTTGTGTTGTCTTAGCCGCCAAAAATTTCTGATGGATTAATAAATCAGTTTCCCATTTGTCTTCATAATTCTCTGCACCTCTTGAACAAGATGGGCAGTGAGCCTCCTGAATATGCTTTGGGAGGATTTGCCATACAGGGCCTTAAAGGGCCAGCTTCCTCCACACAATCGACCTCAAAGTGAGCAGGTCCTTTCTTTGTCTTTAATGGCGTAAAAATGTCTTCTAGCCAGGATTGCTTACTTGCATGAGTCAACCTATCATACTTCTGGGAATAAGTTCTTTTCCAGCCCATAAATATTTTTATTTCATTAATTCCAGTAATGAAGCTTTAGCCATTTAAGTCCCATCCTTGTCTCTGAAGATCTAAACATAGGTTTTGAGATGTATTCTATAACTTTTAGAGATAAAGAGCAAAATTGATGTCTCTGAGCCTTTTCTGGGACCTCAGTTCTCTTCTTTACAGGGTCTTCAAAACAAGAACTCTGTGGCCTATTGGATATATTAATTAAAAGTTTCTTGCTCAAAATAAATAATGAGGGGTTATTAAAAACAAGAGGGGTGTGAATGCCACAAAACTTTCAGTTCTCTATTAATAAATAAATAAAATACAGTGATACCTTGACTCACAAACTTAATCCATTCCAGGACTCTGGTCTTGAGCCAAATTGGTTGTGAGCCAAGTTAAATTTCCCCATAAAGTTCAATGTAAAAAAGGTTAATCCGTTCTGTAACTATTTTTTTTAAATCAGAAAAATGTGAAGAAGCAAAGTGACAAAGAACAACAAAGATCACAGCCATCTCCCCCCCGCCACCCAAACATGAGCCCGGCCATCTCCCCGCCCTCCCCCAGCATAACCTCGATTGCGCCCGTCATCCCTGCACATACCCATCATCCCAGCATGCTGGATGGGGGTGGAGACGGGCATGAACACGGGCACGCTGGGGGGGAGAGATGGGCGCAAACTTGGGTGCGCTGGGAGGAGAGATGGGCATGAATGCGGGCGCGCTGGGGGGAGAGATGTGTGCAATCACAGGCATGCTCAGTGGGGAGACGGGTGTGATCGTGCTGGGTGGGGGGATGGCCAAGATCACAGTTGTGCTTGCGCAGGAAAGATGGGCACAATCATGGGCGCGCTCCTGCAGGAAAGACGGGTGCGATCTCAGCCATCTCCCCCCCTGCCCCCTGCATGATCGTGGCCATCCCCCCACTCAGAGGGGTGGGGAGACGGCTTCGATCACGGTCACCACCCAATGTGGAGTTCATGACCTAAGTCAAAATTTTTTTGAGATTTTTGTTCATGACCCGATTTGGTTGTGAACTGAGGCATTCGTGAGCCAAGGTATCACTGTACAGTGATTTTCCTTCTTTGAGTGTTGTAGTATTATAATAAATTCTTGGTGTTCCCATGCAACTGTTCCAAGCAGCAGTCAAGATATATTACTGTATGTCCACAGCATTCCCACAGTCCACATGGAGTTTGAAAAATCAAAAAATGTAAAAGAGGGTTTTGTTCCTCTTTCAGCAGGTTCTGATTTGCTGCTTCTTCGCTGTGGTGACTAATGCTGTGATGCCTTGTGCCTCTTGATCCTGCAGAAGGTAGAACTTCGTTGTGTAGCTAGGATAGGGCTTTGTTATTTTTTAGTCTGAGGGACCAACAAGGCCCTGAGAGTTTGGGTGTCTTGGGTGACTGTAAATTGTGCTGTTGCTGCTAACTTCCCATTCCCTCTCCCTTCCCCCCCTTTACCCTGTTTTTATCCCTTTTAGATTGTAGGTTTTAGCCTCTGTATTTTATCCTTTAAATAAACTTGTCCATTCCCCAAACCTGGGCTAATGTGTGCTGAATCCAGTTTGAAGGACCAAGGAAAGACAGGGTGTTATTTTGCCTAGTTGGCTGGCAGCTTTCCATTACAGCAAGTTCTGCAGATGAACTGAACAGGAAAAGCCAATGGGGATTTGGAAGCAGAGTTGCAGTGGAAGAGGAGACAAAAGTAGAGACAAGGGGGAATCTGTCATTACCCTTCAAGGAAGGAAGGAGAAAACACAGGCTGTTTCAACACAATCACCAAGATAGAATAAAAAAGTAAAGACTATGGACTAAGAATACTCCACAGTGGTGGTAACCTGCAACATTGGTGCAGTGTGTGTTTTCTTGCCTGAGATCAACATGATGGAAGAAAAAGTGAGAGTACTGGATCAGTGAGTGTCAGAAATCAGATTAGTCTGGCAGAATATGTTCTTGATGAATCCATATTGGATTCTATTAAACGCTACATTGTTCTCAATATGTTTGCAGACTGACTGATTTATAATCTGCTCCAGAATTTTTCCAGGGATTGATGTCAGATAGACTGGTTTGTAGTTCCCAGGTTCGTCCTTTTTTCCTTTTTTGAAAATAGAGACAACACCAGCCCATCTCCAGTCATCTTCCTGTCTGCCTACAGTTTTTGGAAAGCTATTATTAGGTGCTATTAAAGCTGTTCTCTGTTGTGGTGCATGAGCCTTTGTTACCCCCAAATGTGACTCTTTTTCCTGTATCAGTTTAATGCCTTCCTGGTGGCATTCTTCATGCTGTGGCCAAACACATTCTTCCTAGGCCTACTAGCAACTCATTCCTTGCTAGAAGTCCATCTTCCAGGTTGACGTAGCCCATGGTCCCAAAATCGAAATCTCTCATGTCTGCACAAACTCTGTAGCCAGACATTCATCTGGAGTATTTTTCTTCCCCTTTCTATTCTTTCAAGAACTGGAAGGATGCATGAGAAAACTATCTGGGTCTCAAACGTTCTTGACTTTCCTCTCCAGAACTTCAAAGTCTGATATTATTTCTTCAGAGTTCCACTTGGCAGTGTCATGTCTCCCTACATGTTTAAGAAAGAAGGAACTTGTGTCAGTGGGTTTTATGAGCCTTTGCAGTCCTTCAGTTACACCTCTAATCTGGGAGACAGCATACCTGGTGAGTCTACATGTCCTACATGTGTTTCCATCACATGCAACAGGGAGTTTCCTGCACCTAACACTCTTCTTGTTCTTTCAAGCCTTGGTATCACTACCACCACTTGGTTGACCTTTCGCCTCTTTCCTTACTGGCCTTTATTCCTCCTCACCACAAGGCTGGTCAGCTGACCCCTGGGGCAATGGCATATCTCCCAATCCTCAGGGCAAATCATTTACTCCAGGTGCCAGTTGTTAACCAGTTGTTGCTGTTATCTCTGGCATCCCTGAGGCCCTAATTTTTGATATCTCCCAACATACAGCTCAAAAGGAGGAGGATGCCTCCCAAGTCTTTGGGTACCTGATTCCCACTGAGCTAGATTTATAACAATTAAATTTGCTATGGAGTTAACCCTTCCCTTGCTCCCTGGGGCCCGAGGAGCTGGTTCACATTACATTTACTTGTTTGTATATAATAGTCCCTAGTTCAGGGGTCGGCAATCTTTAACACTCAAAGAGCCATTTGGACCCGTTTCCCACAGAAAAGAAAACACCAGGAGCTGCAAAAACCTTTTGACATCTAAAATGAAGATAACACTGCATAAATGATTTTTTACCTTTGTGCTATGTATTAAAAAACTATAGTGTATTGCATTTATGAAATCAATGAACTGCTACAGAGAAAACAATTTTTTATTTCTGCGTGCAACAAAAACATTTTGAATTCCAAAAAAAAAGATGCTGGGTTGAAGGTTACTTTCAAATAAAATACTCAATGTCTATTTGAGTCCTCCTTGTATTTATGAAATAAAAAGACGAACTTAAATTATCCACTTGCAGCAAACCAAACATGCCGTCTGCTTCTGTGTGCCCTCATCCTTTTATCACGTGTACTGGAGGGTGCAGTCAGCTGTCAACCTGAATAAAAAAAGGACTAATTGATAAAAGTAAGTAGAGTTTCTGCAATACAACAAATATAAATAATAGTCTGGTGAACTATTGAACAAACATCCCTCTCCCAGTGTTGCTGGAATTTTTATAAGAATCTTAAAACAAGGAAGTAGATCTATATCTTCATTATGATTTAGCTGCAGCTCTTGTGCAGTCACGAAAAACTGTTATTTTTAATCTTACATTACAAACTAGTAGGATTCCTTTCTTATATTTTGAATAGGAGAACAGCTTCCTGCAGAGTCAAAGTCAGTGTTAAAGGGCTGCATGCATTAAACAGCAAACCCGTAGGTTCATCAGCAGTAAAAGCAAATGAATCTACCCACGTACCATTAATCGTTCGGTTTTCTTCAGAAACTTTTCTTCGATTTATCCATGGTTGGCCTACCCATGGAAAAAGCTCAGTAAATTGTGAAAAGCTCAGTAAATCGGCACGTGTCGCAGATCGACAGCTGTGCAGGCACATATTTTGAGTGATGGAGCCGCAGCAGAGGAATTCAAGAGCCACATGCAGCTCTGGAGCCGCAGGTTGCTGACCCCTGCCCTAGGCCATCAGCCTCTTCTGCTCTGCTCAGCTAGTAATCAGGAACCATACTTGTGATGTAGTCAGTTAACCAACTGGGTATATTTACGATCCTGATTGTGTTTGCAGTTTCTTAGCAAGAGCAAAATGTCTAAAAGGTACTCTGAGTGGGATGGTGTAACTTGGTGTCCTGCAACAGCAGGGGGTTGGACCTGATGTCCTTCATGGCCCCTTCCAACTCCTACTATTCTATGATTCTAGTCTTTCTACTCTATTAATGAGTTGGACATTTTAGTTACAAATTTCTTTAATCTTTACAAGAGTCTTATTTCAGCTCTGAGGTTGGAAAACACCTCTGATATTGAGGGGGGGAATCAGTGCTTGCACAGCCCTTGACCCCTTGCTGCTGGTATGGAAAGAACCACACTTGGCCATTCCTTCAAAATCACAAAAGTGACTTTAAAGAAGAGGGTTTAATGGGCATTCCAAGAGAAAGGGAATGGAGGAGACTGGTGCTGCCAGGTATCCTTAACTTCCATTCCTCTCATTCTGAAGCATAGAGTTACACAGCTGAAATGGGCTTTCTAACTTCTTTGTAGGGCTACAGCAGTGCAGAGGCAACCTTCACCCTCCACTCTCCTATCACCCTGGATAGGATGCCTAAAATTCTCTGCATTTGAAGGGTAACAGACATTCCCATAAGATTAAACCCTAAAGCACAAATACAAATCCTTTCTTCTTTCATTTTCAAAATTGTCCATATCCCATTCACAAGCAATCATCTCTCTCACACACATGCACACAAATTCATATAAACACTCTATTTCCTATAATTAGGCTTTTTAAAGGCTTGATCATAAAGGGGGATAAATGGGGGGGGGGGTCACAGCACTGGGGAGGGGATAGTCCTTTCCTCTCCAGCAATAGCACTACCCAAAATATTCATCCTGCACTTAAAATAGCCTCCATTTGCACCAGTTGCAGTGGATGGAGGACTGATTACTTAAAGGGGGATTACAAGCATTGGGATGGGGAGCATAAGTCCCCCCCCCCAGCACAAACCATCTTTGAAAATGCCCCTAGTACTGTACTTAGCTTAAAAAAAACCCTCCACTGGTGCCAGTGGATACTTTTTAAAAACATACATGAACTAGGGGAACTTCTGGCGAATGCGCCAATTAGACATTAGGGCATTGCTCTGCTGCCTTGAGAAGTTTCATGAGCTTATTCCTGTGTAAACAGTCAGATTCTTGGGTAAGTTAAAGGAGAATGGTCCAGTCTGAAATGGAGATGCAAATAAAGAAGCAATGATCATTACATTGTATGTAATTTTAGCCTTTCTCTGTTGGACTGGATTTGTCCCAGTGTAGGGGAAAAGGATGAGAAAGATTGTTTTAAAGGCTGAGAAGAGAAAGAAACATTTTACTTTGCATCTGCCTTTAGCAATCTGAATAGAACATTAAGATTAAACATTAAATTAATGTTGCAAACATTTAACAGTTTGCATTTAATGGAGAACTTCACAGGTAAAGGGTGGGGAGGAAGAAGGCAGATTGCATCTGCTTAGGTTGGAGAGTAAGAGACTTAAATAGCACCCCTTAAAGATGGTTAAATAGCACCCTCTGCTGGATGATTGGCAAATGTCACTGAAAAATCTCAAGATCTGTGGAATCCATCACAGGTCACAACCCTCTATCATGTGCTGCCCTTTCACATACTTGTAATTCTCTATGAGATCCCCTTGGAGTCTCCTCCAAGCTGAAAAGACATAGTTCCCTCATTCTCATCTCATTTGGTATCCCCCTCAGTCAGGCTACCATCCTGGACCTTGGCATGCGAATGCTAGCTGGGGGTATTTTTGTGCTCATTTTATGATTTTTAAATTGTGATGAAGGACAACTGTACTTTCTGGACAGTTCAGACTTGAGGCTAAGATTTTGGCTGCAATTCAGATCCTTAAGGCATTTTTATTTGGAAAGGACTTTGAAACAGATATTTTCCTAATGTCTTGCTTGAACTTTATAAAGATTCTAATATTTGTAAAATTATGGATATTGCAAACTGACCTTGACTGGAGCATTGGCATCAAGGGAGAGATGGCATCTCCCTTTCTCTGTTGCCATTTTCTGAGGGAGTTGCTGGTTGTTTGGCCTGGGAGTTTTCCTGTTGCTTCTGAACTGATTTACAAATGATTTGTTATAAAGGAGAACTATGTGTCCCTGATAGCTCAGATTGGAGTTGGGACTGGGGAGGCTTTGTTTTTCCTGATTCTTCTGATCTCCCTTGCTTTTGCCTTTGAAGAGCAGAGCCATGTTGCAACAACAAAATGAGTTAGAAACTATCAGCACCACTTGCTGGACTGGGAGAAAAATGGAAGCTAAAGTCCGCCACTATGAAAGCAGTGTTTGAACAATGTCTCTTTTTAACACATTAACCTAAATTAACATTTTAACAGAGCTAGAACGTGACTAATAATTTTAATATGTATAGAAAGTACATGTATTCCATCCTAAGGTCAAATAATTGACCTTATTTATCTCTGTTTCTTGCTTTATCTCCCCACTCCCTTTTTTCCCTCTGTTTTTTCTTTCTTGGCTTCTCCCTCTCCCTTAACTTTTCTGCTATAAGCTGCTGTGTTAAATTGTGAGTTTACTCACAGATATGAAGAAATGTGAGATGTGATTTGTGGTGGAGTAAGGGAGAAGAGCTGATCAATTTCTCAAGCAGGATATCATGTGGCACCTTGTCAAATTCAGCTAAAGCACATCTACATCTTCTCCATCTAGCCACCTCTAAACCTTGTCAAAGAATTGCACAAGATTTGTTTGGCAGGACCTATTTTTGCAGAAGCCATGTTGGGTGGCTGCCAACCTCCCTTTCCTATCTAGGGTATCGCTGTTATCAGCTTTTCTGTAGTCTTTCCCAGAATGGGCGTGAGGCTAACTGGCCTGTAATTCCCCTTGTCCCCTCTGCTACCCTTTTTGAAGATTGGGGCCACTGATGCTACCCTTCAATCCTCCAGAACTTCTCCCATTTTCCAGGAGGCCTCAAAAATGAATTCCCAGAGTGCCCTTGGGTGTAACCCATCAGGACCCAGCACCTTTGTAACATCCAGTGCCCTGAGGAGCTCCTCAACTCTAGGAGAGTGACTCTAATCTGTGCCCCCATAACCCCAACCTCATCTGACCCCTCAGGTAGATCTCCCCCAACCTGCCTTGGGGAGAATACATTTAACATCTGTGCCTGTTTCCTTATATGAGTTACCAAATCTCTCTCTTTTAAGTAGCCCCATCACTTGTCTCCCCTTCCTCTTACTATTTACATGAGAATAGAAACCATTTTTGTTGCTTTTGGCATTCTTTGCAAGTCTCAGCTCATAATCAGCTTTAGCCTGACAAAGAGTCCTTCTGTATTGAGCTGCCTCTTCCCAATATACCCTTTTGTCCACATGTGACAGTGACCACAGTGTGGAGGTCCCTTTTATTTCTAATTCCTCTTACACTTCTCTTTGCATCCATGGTGGCACCCTCCTAAGCCTCCTTACTTTGCTGATCAACAGTATCATTAAGGCTTGCATCTCCAATCCCTCTCTTTTTAGTGCCATCCACCCCTCTTGGACTATCTTGCTTTCCAGTACCTTCTCCCAGGATACTTTTCCCAACCTGGCCTTCAATTGATCAGGCCCTCATGAAGTCCCAACTCCTAGTACTTGCCCTACTGCTCACCCTTGTTCTCCTGATCTTGAACCATAGGATGGAGTGGTCACTTGCATCCAGCGCTCCCCTGGTCTGCATATCATCTACCAGATCCACCCTGTTGGTCAAAACCAGTCTAGAATGTTTCTCCCCCTTGTTGCCTCCCAAATCCTCTCCTTCCATAGCTATGCATATGAAATGCCTGGAAATAAAAATGGAAGAAGATAAAGCTAAATCAATACAGGAGATCATTACTCAGATCATAACTGATTAAAGCAGAGAATTTTTTAAAAATCATAGTTTGGATGATCAAATCAAGTCTTAAGAGGCAAAAGTATTAATGAAAGCTAATATAGTGGAGATACATCACTAATTCAAAAAAGAATATCACCACTGGGAAAAAAGGTGATTGCCTTGTGGCACCACAATCATAGAGCCAACCTTCATCTAAGAGGGATTGCTGAAAGATCTCTATAGAAGAGGGAAAACTTAGAAATGATGTTGTAGAGTGGCTTAAAGAAATGCTCCCCAAGGAAAAATGGAAACATGAAGATGTAGAAAGAGTACATCATGTTGGTCCTAAGTGTGGGTCTAGAATGTTCCTGCAAGATGTAGTGATCAGAGTTGCCAATTATTGTAAGCAAGAATTGCTTCTGAAAAAATTGAGAGGTCAGGACAATGAAAATTTAAAGAGGCCTCCATTCAATTTTATCAAGATCTCTGCTATCAGACTATATTGTTCAGACATTCCTTGAATTTAATCAAGTTTTCTTTTGGAACAGCATCAAATATAATTGGGGTATCTAGTACATATAAGAGTTTTCTACTCTCTGGGTCAAGGCTTAAATTTGCTTTACAAATGGGGCCTAATAGATGAAGATCAATGGAAGCAAGAGATGGCAAAATTAAACTAAGTTAAGAACTGGGAAACAGCATCAGAAGGAGATAACAAAGGAAAAGAAGAAGTTACTGGAACTGTTGGTGGATTTTCCTCAGTTTGAAGTGATAGCCCAGTGAACAAAGAGAAACAGACAAGAGAACAAGTGGTCAGGAGGAAAGGGAAGACATGAGGGGAGATGGAGGGAGGAGACAGAGGAGTTGGGGCTGAAAATGTCAAATAAGATAATTACTTGATTAAATTAGACCTTTTCCCCTTTTCTCTCTCTCTCCTTTTTCCTGTTTCCAATTCCTCCCCCCCCCCTTCTCCTTTCCTCTTTATTTCATTACAAGGAGATATATAATTAAAGGCTAAATATAATATGGTAACTAAAAAGATGGGGAGTACAATTTAGATGTGATATACAGTAGAGTAAGATATAGGAAATAGAGATGATAAATTTGTGTAAATTAGGTTTTTAAGAATAATGGGATTACGGAGAAGTAGTTAACAAGTCAACATTAGTAGCTTGAACACTGTACACAACCAGTGGTTCATCCCCACTCCCTTTGCTAAAGGTCTTGGTGCTGCCCAGGAAGAAATCTCTTTGGGGGAAGAAGGGAGAGAGTACAGGTATGTGTTGTGGTGAAAGATTGTTGGGTGGGGGATTTGTATTGTGAACAAGTTTGCTTTTCTTTTTGTTTTGTTTTCTGTATGTGTATGGGGATGCACAAGGGACCAGTAAGGATACATGTCTGTAAAATGGTATGTTCAAAACTGTAAGATTACAATCTTTGAATGTTAGAGAGTGTAATTAAAAGGAAATGAACTGAAATGACGATGGATGAAGAAAAAGCAGATACTAGATTTTTACAGGCGACACATCAAAAAGGGGAAGAGGTTAATGAACTTAAAGCAATATGGTCAAATATTTATGAAAAATCTTTTTGAAGCTCAAAATCAAGGGGGTAGCAATTATTATTTCTAAGAAAGCTGAATTTAAGTTAAATAAAGAAGGATGATACATGATTTTTTTTTAATTTTACAAGGTGAACTGAGAGAAGAATATACGTTAGTTAATATTTATTTGTCAAATGATAAAGAATTGGAAGTAATAGAGAAAGTATATGTAGAGATGTAAAGTATGCATAATATATATATGTAACAAGTGTATGTAATAGGAGATTTTAACATGGTAATGAATAAAATAAGTGATAAGTGCTGACCTATGAAAAAGGAAAGATGACACAATATTACAATATAAGTGCATAGTAGATACAATGGAGTAAAGGTTGAAAGAAATGTGGAGAATTACTGATAGAGATGGTAGAGATGAAAGTCTAGTTTGGGATACAATGAAAGTGGTTGCAAGAGGAATAAGTATTAAAGATGCATATATTTTGAAAAGCAAAACGATTGAGCAGAAAATTTGGGAAGGGAAATAAAAGAATTAGGGAAGAAATATACTCAAAAGAGGGATTTGAAAGTCTTAGCAAAAATACAAACTAAAAGGAAGGAAATGGAAAATAGAGAAGTTGAAAGGATACAGAGAAATTTCATATATTTGAAGAGGGAGTATTTTGAGTTTAGCAATAAGAATTCAAGATTATTGGCCACTGCCACACAACAAAAGAAAAAAAAAACTTAACTGGAATTGTTAAGAATGAAAAAGGGGGAAAGTATAATTTAAGAGATGCATTGAAAATATTTTACACTTTTTTCTCTATGGTGGGAAATGAGCATTGGATAGAGGTAGACTTTATGTAGAGAAAGATATTGGGGGGAAATGACAACAGATGGAACAAGCAATTAAAGAGGAAGAGATAGAAAAAAGTATTGATAAATTAAAAATAGGAAAATCTCCTGGGATAGATGGAATGGGATCACAATATTATAAAGTTTTTAGAAAGATTTTGATTCCAAAATTAAAAGCTTTGTTAAATAAAACATTGGAAGGAGGAAATATGCCAGCATCTTGGAAATAGTCTTTAATACTTTCGTTCCTAAGTCTAATAAAGATTTGAGCTATGGCATTAATAAACTGGGATGTAAAAATGTTTACTGCAATATTGGCAAACAGAATGAATACATTTATTGACAAACATATTAAAGTGGATCAAAGTGGTTTTACAGTAGGGAGACCGATGGCAGATTTAACTAGAAGTATATTAAGCATATTAGAAAGGGAATATAAAGGGAAATTTAAAGCTGACATAATTGCATTATATATTTTTTAAGCTTTTGATTGTGTGGAATGGCCATCAATAAATATAGGAACATAGAAACAGAGTGAGTCAGAAGGGACCTCCTGGGCCATCTAGTCTGACTCCTGACTCCAGCCAGCTCTGTTCATGACATGCCTACCATGTGCATGCCCAGTCTATCCTTAAATACCCTCTCCAATGGGGCTTCAACCACCGCCTGTGGAAGCCCATTCCATACCCTAGGGGTCCTAATTGTCAGAAAGTACTTCCTGGCATGGAATCTTGGTTCCCTGAGCTTTGTTTAGTTGGAACACGTAAAGATACATTAGGATTTGGGAAAAAATTCATAGGTATAATAGAACAATTATATGCAGGAAATGCAAAAGGAAATGATGGTATAATTGAGCAGTTTTCTCTGGGCCAGTGTACTAGTTAAGGATGTCCCCTTTCCACAATATTGTTTGCTTTACGTATAGAATTATTAGCAAACAGTATTAGGAATAATAACACATAGAAAGTATAGGTTTCGAGAATGAGATTAAGATTAGTTTATTTGCTGAAGATACTTTGTTAACAAGAAAGGATCTATTTAAAGCAATGAACCAGGTTAGAATACATTTGGAAGAATTTGAAGAGATAGTGGACTTAAGAATAAATCAGGATAAATGTTGATGATGTTATTTAATTATGACAGAAAAAAGAAGAAAATGATTAGGAGTAAATTTAAAGTTAAGATTTGTAGTGTTACTAAGAATTTAGGTATGAATACAACTAACAAGTTAAAATGCTTAAAAAAGAATAATTTTGATAAATTGAAAAATGAAATAAAAGAGAAAATGAATTTAGGAAGATTAGAATGATGAACTAGACTGGTTAAAGCAAAGATGTGGATGTACAGATTATACAAAATCTGAATATACAATTGTGGAAAAGGAAAAACAAGCTAATATGCAGATGAAAGTGATAGTAAAATCTGTAAGATATTTCAGAAGATCAGGATTAATATGAGCCACTTAAATCAACATGGGAAACAGATTTGAGAAAGTTATGAAGACTGCATGTCAGTAAGACTAAAGGAATTTTTGAGTAATTTATTATGGAAATGATGCTTTACCCCAGTGAAGCTGAATTGTATAGATAGTAAATATTCCAAGTTATGTTGGAGATGTGGCCATGGAGTGGGTACATATTTTCACATGTGGTGGGAATGTGAATATATAATAAAATTTTGGAAAGAGGTTTTTAAAGCGAGTAGTGAAATGCTAAGTTTAAATATTGAAATATGTCCTGAGATTACATTACTTTCAATATTTCATAGGAAACAATGGAGTTGGAATAAATAAAGAATTAATAACAAATTTAACAACACCTGTGAGATTAATCATAGCTAAGGTCTAGAAAGTAAAATATGATTACCAATTGTGTGATTAGTATAGGGAAGTCTGTAATATAGCTATTAATGATAAATTAATTTGTGATATTAAAGTGAGAAAAGTGTATATAAAGGAAAACAATTTTAATGAGATTTGGGTTGTATTTATTGAATATGTGTTTAAGAAAGGGAAAGATTGGAGTCTTCAGAAGAGTCACTGCTATTTTGGAAGGGGAAACTTTTTGAAACAATTTTTGATAGAGTTTTCAACATGTAACCAATGGTCCTGGTGATGGGGTGCACAGCGTTTTTATGACTTATTTTAATTTTATGTTTAATGTTGCATGTTTTCATTTTAATTGTAAGTTTTTATTGGTATTTTACATTGTAAAATTGAGAAAATTATGTAAAAATGAAAAATAGACTTAAATGAACCATGGTAGTAGAGATTATATGTTTTCATCTTGGGGAAGAAGAGGTTAGAGGTGAGGGCACAAAGGACTGGTCAAACTTGTGAGCTGAATGAGGACCCTGTAGTCAAACACTATGTGCACATGTGTAAATGTGAATTTTGTTTGGAGGAATGCACATCCATATGATGTGCACAACTGTGTATATGATTTCCAGGAACGATGTATGAGTAAGTGTGGTTCCTTATTCAGAATGACATTTACTTCAGTGGAATGAACTATTTAACAAATAAGACTCCAAAATGTTGACATTCTGAAGTTAAGGATGACTTGACCTTGCAAATTGTTTTTTCACTATATAAACAAGAAGTGGTGTTGTTCAATTTTATTTATTTTGTTCTGGATATTACCTCTTGCTTTTGTGAATGAAACTCAGTGAGCACTTAAAATGAGATCAGTATCTTATAAGCAATAAACAATGTAGACAATCAAGCAGGGAGAAGGATCTTTTTAATTATATAGAATGATAGTGCTGCGATGCTTCCATGTTTGTGATGCTTCTCCTATCAGAGTGATTTTTAAAAACTTGTTTTTCAGGGATGCTATGAAAAAGTCAAGATGTGGTTTGATGATAATAAACACATTCTTGGGACAGTTGGAATGTGTGTCCTGATAATGCAGGTATGTGTATGTTCATAGTGTAAGTATGTGTATCGCAACTGGTGAATGTGATTACTGTTGAGCAATTAAGAAAAAATTAACTCAAAGCTTGGATCAAAATGCTATTTCTTTTTAGGCCAGTTCTCTGTGTAAATCATTCTGGTCACCTTTAAAATAAAAAAGTGGTTCTTTGAGCTCAGTTTTTCAGTTTTTTAATGGTGTTACAGAAAGACAAATTCAGAACAAGCTCACAATGCAGATGGGAATATAATTACTAAAAGTGGGGAAATACTTCCATATGTGAATCCCATTATTAGATTGGGATCCTTAGCTTATGGCATTTTAAATTTGTTAGGCTATACCCCATAGACCATATGGGAGTTCCATATGGTTTCCTACCAACTCTACCACTTTCTTCCCCTCTCATGACAGAGAAAAGTTGTTTTCTCCAATCAGTTTCTCTTGTCGATAGGAGTTTTTCCTTGCAGGGAAGTGAGCTGGGCTCTGAGTTTGAAGCTGCTAAGTGATTCACCATATCCCAGTAAATATAAGATGTAGACTAGGTACGAGCATCACCCTTTTGTGAAGATATAAGCAATGCACTCAATAAGCAATCTAGCCTAATTTTTCTTCTGACCTGCACTACTTGCTGCAAAGGAAGCAGACTCTCTAAACTTCATCCAAATTGCTGACAGGCCTCATTGCAGATTCTTAGAAAACAATCAAACACCTCAGGCAAAGGTGAAAGCCATCAGCCCAGAAAAACAGAAGAATTGAATGCTTAATTTGGAAATGATAAATATAAACATTGCCAAACTCCAAAAACAAGTTGCCTTCCGCCTGTCCTTCCCCCGAGCCTTCCTACTGGTACTCCATGTGCCTCCCCGGTTTGACCCTCATGGTTGACCTGGCTTTCCACCACTGTTCCTCCTGCGCTGCCTGGATGCCTGCAGCGGACGGCCATTCCCACTGCCTTCTTTGCCTGGGAGAAGGACATGTGGTTGAAACCTGCTCGCACTACCAGGCTTCCAAAAAACAAGCCTTCCAGCAGTGAGCCCACTGCCTACACTTCGCCCTCTGGCAACATGCCCTGAGTGTGGGTGAGCCATCACAACTGGATGCTGACAGGACACCCTCTGCCTATGAGCCTCCCCGGCCAACGAAGCAATCGAAGAACAGGGCCGCTGCCTCCACCTCCAGAAAAGAAACATCTGGAGCAGTGGGAACCTCCAAACACAAGAAGTGCGCAGCACTAGGCTGCCCCCTTACCAGCCACATTGCCCCACAACAACCGCCCATGCATGCCAGACCCGGATCCCTGTGCCCATGGAGGCGAACTCCCTGGGCAGGCCCTCGCACTCCTCATCGCGGGCCACCTCAACACGCACATCGCTTCCAGAGCTTTCCTCGCTGCCAGACTCGCTGCTCCATTGACTTGCGGCCTCCCTGCACAGCTGCAAGCAGGTGCCGCCTTCCCCGCCCACCACCCGGCCCTCCACCTCCGCGGGACCACCGCCCTCACCATGCTACTCCTCCCCTAATTGAGAAGGTTCCTCATCTTGGTCCCTGCCCTCAATGCACTCACAGGACAGGTCTGACTCCTCAGACCCATTGGCCCTGATGGCGAAGTGATGGAAGAGGTGCCGCATTGAGTCAGATAACCTATCCTCCTCCAACTCTTCTTCTGTGGAGTGCTCCCCCAGTCTACCACCCTCCCAATGCTGATGCCACCACACCGACAGCCAGCACAGACCCACTGGGCCTACCTCCCACCGGTCATGGGCCCATGCCGGCCACACCCACCTCCGCTACTCACCAGCAACTGAGCCCTGATGCTGACTTCCCATGAGATCTCGAGGCTGAGAACGCACAGGGTTGCATGGCATCAACAGAGACCAGTGCCACCTGTTGGAGCAACAGTGTGAGGCATCCTCCAGTGCTGAAGAGGACCGGCCTACCCACTGTGCCCACAGGGCCCAGCTCCAGGAGGACAGTGATTCTGCCTTCAGCCCTGAGTGCCAAGGTGCCTGCGAGCACCAGAGAGCTCACCAGCACAGGACTCCAGCCCAGACCACCTGGCCTCCCACAACCACAACACCTGTCACTGCTGCCACTCCCGCTCTCCTGCAAGGCAGCACCCGTCTTCTCCAGCACCGTGTCAAGCGCCCAATGCCCTTGATCGCTGCTGGTCTTTCTCAAGGAAGTCAGGTCAGAGCCTCTCACCATAACAATCCCAATCACCATCCCTGGCCTCCCCACCACTCCCTGAGGTGTGGGCCCTGGAGCAGGACCTTCTAATGTCACCAGGAGGGAGGGAGCACTTTGCGGATCTTGTCCTCCTCATGGCAGATGACCTGAGAGTTTAGGCCTCCACCCATGCAGAGTCAGAGATGGATAGTAATTTGCCCTCAGGCGTGTGTCTGTCTGCCTCACTCCCCCTGCTGCCTGTACTACTGTGCATGACCCAGCAGTCATGGAGGACCCCTGCAGCTGCCCTCTCACTACCATACAGAATTGACTCCACTTATAAGCTGTCTGAGAAATCTCTCTCCTTTCTGCACCAACACCCTAAACCCAGCTCAGTTATAGTGGAGTCCATGCAGGGGACCTCCCAGAGGGAACACTCCATGCCTGTGGACAAGGAAGGGTGCCATATGGACAGCCTAGCCAAGAAGGGCTATGCAGCCTCTTCCTTGGGCATACATGCTTCTAACTACAAGGCCTTAATGTCTAAGTTCCAGTTCTTTCTTTGGGAGAAGATGGATGCCCTTGCAGAACATCACCCCACCAACCTCTGGGACACTGCCTAGCTGATACAATTGGAGGCAGTGAAACTGTCCACGTATCAGATGGAGTCAGCCAGACACCAGGTGGACTGCCATAACAAGGCCATGATGTCATCCATGGTGGTCCACCCCCATGCACAACGGCGGTCAACAGGCCTCCCACAGGAGACCCAAGCTCACATAGAGCACCTACCCTTTGATGGAGAGCTCCTCTTCAGTGCCCACACAGACATGAGCATGGACTCCATACATAAGGTGCTCACTACCGCCAAGCATATGGGCTTCAAACAGAAGGTCCATTCCCACAAATGGCAAGGGTCCTCCTCACTCACTGCCCCTTCTTGGATCGGCCTCTCCAGCTGAGACAGGCCTTCCCACCCAGAAGACTTGACACACAGCCACGCCAGTGGCTCCCACTGGCATGGGATAACAGATGCAGATGCCAAGATAACAGATGCAGGTGCTACGATTTATGTCCAGGCAGCCCCAGCTCCCCTCTCCTTCCCACATCTCCCCACTTTGCTGATCATCTGGACCAGGTCCTCCACATGTGGGAGAATATCACCTCTGACTCCTGGGTCCTATCCATAATCCGCCTGGGCTGTAGGATTGAATTTGATACCCTCCCCTCACTGGGACGCAGCAGGACCACCACTCCCTCACCCACCCTAGTGGCAGAGGTGGAGAGCTCAGTTGGACGCAGGAGTTGGGGCAGTTGGACGCATCTCCTCTGACCTCTCAGGAGGCTTCTACTCCCACTACTTTGTTGTTGTTAGTTGCGAAGTCACATCTGACCCATTGCAACCCCATGGACAACATTCCTCCAGGCCAGGGGTCTCAAACTCAACTTACCTGGGGGCTGCTGGAAGTAGAGTCTGGGTGAGGCTGGGCCGCATCAAGTATTCCACAAAAAAAAGGATTTCAAGTATTCCAAAAAAGTACAACTGATCCAATCTTCTCAATCTTTACTAATAATAATTCAGAACATGAATGGTTCTTCAGAACATAGGCTTCTTTTACTTCCTCCTACTCCTTGCTGCCAGAGACCTGACAGCACTTCCTCTTACACAGCTGAGCCACATTTGACTTGAGGGAGGAAGCAACTGAGACCCTCAGTATGGCTTGAAGATGCTCATCAGTAAGTTTGGACCTGAACTTTGACTTATTAAGGTTCATGGTGGAGAAGAGCTTTTCACACAGATAGGTGCTCCCAAAAAGTCACATGGTCCGCTTGAACATCCTGGAAAGCTCAGGGAAGGTAAGGGGCAATTCTCTCAAAAATTGTCCAAGCTTGTCTGCTTTTCCACTCTGAACTTGGCTTTGAGTTCAGAATTGCACTGCAGGTCAATTAGCTCCATTTGAAGCATCTTCCACATCAAAGGAGAAGGGGTCAGCAAAAATTTGAAAAGTGGCTCTGTGTGTCTTGAAATCTGCAAACCTGTGATCAAATTCTTCCTGTAGCTTTACAATGGCATCAGCATACTTCTCACTGCTGAATGGTGTGCCAGAATCCATGAGTGCCTTGCATGCTGGGAAATGGCAGAGGTTTGTCTGAGAAAGCTGGGCTTTCCATAACACAAGTTTTGTGGAGAATGCTCTGACATTGTCATAGGCAGCACTGACAAACTGCCCCTGGCCTTGTAATTTCTTGTTCAGTACATTCAGCTCCTGTGTGATGTCAACAAGAAAAGCTAAGTCCATGAGCCATTTGGGATCACTTAGTACAGGAACGGCCATCCCATCTTTCTCCATGAAGGTTTTCACCTCTGCTCTCAACTCAAAAAACCTCTTCAAGACGTTTCCCCTGCTAAGCCAACGTACCTCGGTGTAGTAGAGCACATTCTCATATGCTGACTCTATGTCCTCTAAAAAGGCGCGGAACTGCCAGTGCTTTAAGCCCCTGGATCTGATGTGGTTGATGCATTTCACAACGTCAGACATCACATTGTCAAACTTCAGGCATTTGCTGCAAAGGGCCTGCTGATGGATAATGCAGTGCAGAGCAATGGCCTCTTCCACAGCCTCTTCTTCCAATTTTCTTTGAACAAGTGCCACGACTCCATTTCTCCTCCCTGTCATTGATGGTGCTCCGTCAGTTATTATTCCAGCAAAACTCTTCCATAGTAAGCCAGCATCTGCAATGGCATCACACAGCTGGCGGAATATCTCCTGAGTGGTGGTCTGACCATGCATTGGAATCACTGTAACTCCTCCATCACTTCAAAATTGTCGTCA